TCCAACGATTTAATCCTTAATGTCTGACTTTCACACAAATCAATTATAAGCCTTATTTATGTCTATGATATGGATCTCAACCACTGTTTCAAAGAGAAATTCATTTCTAAATTGGATATCAATTCAAGAATTAGGCAACAATTTGTAGATCAATTTCAATAAACTATTTTTTGTTATAAAATTATTTCAGACACAGTTCTAGATTATAATACTGTATCAAAATTTAATACGATAATTTAGTTCACAAATCTAAAAATTTTTATGTAATTAAATTTAAATAATTTCATTTTATTAAAAGTTATATAATTTGGTTAAATATAAAAATTTGAATGAACTTTAAATGAATACGACCGCAATGTTTGACAATTTAATGATTAAAACTGTTAAATTGCCGAAAGTAGACAATCATATTTTTATAGATAAGTAACCATAAAGTTTTAATTGAAAGTTTACGATTGGAAATATCAATATAATATTATGTGATAAGTTATTTTACACAACATTTTACTTATTACGCAATTTATATCATTAACATAATTGAAATACTAAATCTATTGCAAAATCGGTTAATTTATAAATAGTATGTAAACAACAAATTGGCAAACATTTAATTGGGTTTTTATTAGTCTATAAATGGTTATAACAAGTGATTGAAATTATAGTTTGAAAGCATAACAAGAGTTACAAACATTGAGTTTACTGTTTATTGAGTGCTAACGTTATAAAGTTACCAATTATTGTATACACAATCGGCATAAGGAATGTCAATATAAGTGACAATTGTTTTCGTAAACTTTTACATTAAATAAAACCCCGATTTCTAAACACATTTTATAAAATAAGTTATTAATATCGATATTTCAATAGTAATTTATGTCACTTTTAATGATATAAAAATATATTAATTTTTAACTTACATTAAAATCACTAAATTTGATTTACGAATTGCTACTAGTAATAGTTGATCATGGATAATTTAGATATTTAGACATTTTATGCTAAATTTACAATATATGACACATTTACAAAGTGTATCATTATGCAAACTCATTAAATTATAATAAGTTTATGCATTTATTTATTTTATGGCAAAACTTTTATAGTCTTAAAATCTATTTTAATTTCTGTTTTATTTTTACTAAACAATATATTGAATGACTATTCTTCGTCTATTATAAATTAATGCATTAAAAATATATTAAATTATTTATTTCTAATAAAGCGTTTCAACAATAAAAATAAATATTCAAATTTCTAAACATTTTACACATAATTATAGTTAATTTACAAAAAGGCAGTTACATAACAGACAAATTCAAATTCATATCAATTTAAACTCAATCATGAAATCAAATACAAACAAAAAGATGATCAAAACAGTGGATAAAATCGAGCCATCAGTGGCCACATCGGGTCCGTCCGGCGCTGAACATTACATACCGATGCAGACTATAGGAGAAGAGCCAAACATCAATGACATACTGCCCGTTGAACTCGTGGACAAAATACTGACCAAATTGGATCTCAAATCGCGACTTATGGCCGAAAGAGTGTGCACTCAATGGCGACAACTCGTGACCGGAATCTTCAATACGAAGAAAATCCTTGTGATCGCAGAGAAGCCAGAGTTGGGACACATTGTTGTGAAAGAAGTGTTGGAAATGCCGTCGCGTACTCTCCCTATAGTTTATTCGCGTGAATTCGTGCCACAAATGCCTATCCATTCGGCGATCCCACAGATTATTGGGAAATATCGTGGCCTCGAGTGTCTCGAAGGGGTGTTTCGATCCAAAATCAGCAAAGAATACGGTTTTGCCACAGATCTGATCAAATGGTTGTGCGAAGAGTGCGGCCCCGGTATCCGTTCCATAAACATCGTGTGCACCGATGAGAGAGATCTGTTTATCGCCCCAATGAAAGCGCTCCAGAATTGTCCCGATTTGAGAGAGTTTCACATCACAGCTCTCAATGGCATTGCGATCTGCGAGTCTCTGATCGGCAATCAGTTCCAGTGTTGGCCAAGACTTGTGTCGTTCAGATTGGACGCACCGCTAGACCACGACTACAGCGGCCATTACTTTAAAGATATAAACGCCGGCATCGAAGCGATTAGCACTTCCGGATATCTGTTAAACGCGACGGCAATCTCACGATTAGGTCTCATAGGAGTGAATCAATTGCGAGAACTGACAGTCACTCGATTTGATCCGTTTTGCATGCCTTTAATCGGCCGATACTTACAGTGTATAAAAGTCCTGTCAATAAATTTGTGGTCAGGACCGGCCGACAACGACCAGGAGTTTGCTTTGGGAACACTTTTTGAGGATATATCACGTCTGAAAAACCTGGAAGAGCTGAGATTAGTGTTGTCTGACAACTGCGCGGCCATTGACTACACGGTCATCGAAGAGCTCAAACGGTGTCCTAAATTAAAATCATTGAATCTAATCCGAGGATTACTCGCCGAAGACTGTGTGGAAGCGATGGAAAAGTTTACCCCAAATCTGGTTAAACTTTGCCTCATTTGGTGTCGCTTTTTGTCTGACGATATAATGTCGTGTTTGGCATCAATTGAAAACATGCGTCAGTTGTCGGAGTTGTCACTGAAGGGCAACGAAGAAGTGACGGACACTGCGTTTGAATGGCTTATCAAAGACTGCCAGCAAATCAATCGCATCGATGTCTCGCAAGCGAAACAGATCACCGCCGATGCTATCTGTGAGTGCATTGAGGTTTGTGGACAACAGCCCAACAGATCCCTTACAGCTGTGTTTAGTCACGACCTGAAGACATCAATGGATGAACTCGATCTAAATTTGCCACAGAATTTGAGTGTCATTTATATGGAGAACAATTTAGACATTCAATTGTTTAATGTATTGAAGTATTGAAAAGTTTTAAACTAAATGACAAAACCATATCGTATTAAAAAGTAGTCAAATAAACTATCATTTCTTTCAAAAATGTAAATTAAATTCAATTGCAATGACTTTAACCGTAATTTAAATACTTTGAGATGTTTAATTTTATTCATGTAATGCCTAACAAAATATGTAGATTGTTATATGAATGTGAATGTGATTGCATTTATTATTAATAAGCAGCAAAAACTCCTAGAAAAGTACACTTAAAAATGATTTGGCAAACAATGTCTTAATGTTTTGACAGGAATTTGGATAATTACATGTCTTATTGAATAGTTAACAGTAATTTAAATACTATTTCCTTTATAAATATATTTTTATTATTTTAAGTATATTTATTTTGAATCATTTCCTAAACAATTCTTACGAATGAATTTAACGGAAATAGTCATTACATTTGGTGTGTTTCTGTCCACATATTATTGTATATCCAGTTATAAATGTTTTAAATAACATGTTTTGTAAACAATTCTAACTTATGTTAGAATAATTAAAAATTTGTTATACCGATAATAATTCTAAAAACATTAACAAATGGAGTGTTTGCAAGTAAATTACTCAATGTATGTGTTAATATTTGATTTATTCAATTCAATTTAAACGACTACACAATTAACGCAATCTGTTAATATTATATATTTTACAACTTATTATTTAACACTAATTAAATCCATTCAATTGAGTATATGTTTTACTATTATGTCTGAGGTATCCAAGCGTTGCCGTGAGTGTCGGGCATTTGGGTGTGAGGCGTATCCCACGTCCAAACTTCATCTATAAGTAAATTTCAAACACATTTTACTTGTATTTATTTAAAGTAATTATAATCTATATATTAAATGAATACCATTTAGAGAATATGGAGTCAATGGAGTGTCGTATGGAATGGGAAAACAATTGTTTGACAACTTATCCGAGTCTTCAGACTTTGAAATCTCAAAAAACTCTTGATTTGTCTTTAAATTCAAACAAAAATATGAATACAAAACAAAAAGTTATTTCAAATATAACAAAATTATTTTGAAAAATCAATTCATACAAAAAGTTTAGGTATAAAAAGGACTCCAATTTCATATGACTTGATGGCCAGTTGTGTGTCATTCTTCTCGAGCTGACCCCACGCGGCCTTTGATAGGTTGGCCGAAGTCAGCACAAAGTATGCCATTTGTTTGCTATCGCCTGACAGTCGGGTGTATGTCTTGATGTGTGGGCACGCGATTGAACGACCCGTGCGTTCGCTTCGCCACGAATGCAGATATGATGTCAAATAAGTTTGTTTTCGATGCGTTTGAGAACTGATAACAGATAACAAAAAGTTAACAATAATTGTTAAATAAAAAACATTGAGTAATATTAAGCACACCTGTAGGGCAGAGAACCGCCACCGCTATAGCCCTCCAAACAGGTCCTCACGTTTTCAACGGATGGAAATATTAACTTCAGTCGCGGTTTAGTGACCAGTGATTTGGCGCCACAAACAGCGGATAAAGTGCTGAGAAACTCATTTGTGAGCCATTTATCGGCCGTCGGACCCAACGAACCGATGCTCGAGAACTGTCCGATTGCGGGCCAACTCGAGTCCACATTCTTAGCCGACGGCCCGAACTCTGACAACAGTCGCCGTAACTTCAAGTGACCGAATCGGCACTTGTTGTCGGCGCCCATATGTCTTCCCGGAACGGATCCCACGAGAAATACTTTGGCCGCCGATAAATCGTGTCGTCTAATGGTTTGAATCCATTCGTTGATTTCAACCGATGTGTAACTCTTCAGGTATTCAATTAAATCGGTCTTAAATCTGGTCTGAGATATGTCTGCGTCTGATGTATGAGTGGAGGGAAGCGGTGGGAAGAGAGGACTGATCCAAACCCCCTGAGTCTTCTGAAACCAATCCCTTT